GGAGAGGGGAGAGAGGGGGAGAGAGGGGGAGAGAGAGAGAACCAGGGAAGAAAGTAGAGAGAGTGACAGTGAGAGTGTGATATAGATAGGGTATTAATGGAGAGGGCGGGAGAGGGAGAGGGAGAGGGAGAGGGGGAGAGAGGAGAAAGTGAGAGAGGGAGGGAGAGTGTGAGAGAAGAGAAGGCGGGAGAGAGAGGGAGGGAGAGTGAGAGAGCAAGAGAGGGAGAGAGAAAAAAAGGGAGGGAGAGAGAGAGAAGATAGAGAGAGTTGAGAGAGTGATGAAGGGAGGGAATGAGATAAAGGGAAAGGAGGTAGGGTGGAAGAGATGGGCAGAGAGAACGAGAGAGAGAGAGAGAGAGAGAGAGCGTGGGAGGGAGAGAGGGATATTTTGTTCTTCAGTTTTATTGGTGTTTATTTATATGTATTTTCTTCAAGATGGAATGTTGGCCTGTTTATCTTCTACCTTTACAATGATGGCTGCTGTGTTCAGTGCAGTGGAGGAGCATGTTTATTCAGGTTCAATCAACGCCAAATCCGTCCTCTCTCATGTTTTACCCAGGAAAGGCTGTGATGGAAGTTGGAAGTGCTGATTTCCCAAGTGCTCGAGCAGCCATGTCTTCACCACTTGCTAAATCTATCTTCGCCATTGATGGTATGTTTATTGTATTGCTTGTGTTGTTCAGTTATTTTAGTTGTTGCTGCGAGTTTTCTTCCATTTGTTACCCATTTATTGTGTGATTTTTTTTTTTAAATATTGAGATTTTTATCTTATTTATTGTTAATGTTGTGCTACAGATGAATGGTTTGTATTTGCGTGTAATTTTCTCTGCTTTGTAAATTGACATTTTGCTTGCAGTTTTTCACTTCTTATAATCATTATATTGGATTGTCAAGAAGTGTATCAAGCATTATTTTTTTTTTTGTTTTTATGAGAAGTTTACATAACTAGCACACAATTCTTATGCATTTGCATATCTCACACCTAATGTTTCATGTTTACTTGCATAGCACTTTGGCACTTTACCCCTATGCTTGAAAATATGCTTTCTCTTTTAAAAGTGGTAATGATGCTATTTTTGATGTGATATTAAATATTTGAGTGTTGTGTAAATATGAAAGTTAAATATGAAAGTTTTTAGGTGTGAGATATTTAAATGCATTTGAATTGACGCTAAGTGGAGAAAAAAGGAATGCACATATTTTTCCCCTCATGGATAACTTTAATATATTTATGACGTTTTAGTAGATTAGAAAAGCAACCACATCTTGTAAAGTATCTTTTGACCTTAAATATGAAAGATTTCAAGTATATTGTAGTGATTTACTTTCTCATCATTAGAATTTAATTTTACCTTTCCTCAAAGGGTATATTCTTTTCTTCTTCATCAGAAATGATAGAATTATGTGCCTATTTTTAACTACCTTATTTTAGTTGTCGCCATATTTCCTTTAATATTATCACTCCTTAAGCTCTTCTTCCTAATTTTTTACATGTGAATCTTAAAATTATTGTCTCATTTTCTCTCAACTTAGGTTTGTTTTAGGCAGCTGCAACTTATTAAGGAACAACTGTGAAACTGCTGAAGAATAATATGATTTTGCAAAAAGCTGCAGTGACTATTTTAATTTTTTTTTTTTTGAAAAAGTCGAATTGCAGCTAGAGAGCTGCCACCACATTTAGCTAGGGCCGATGAGAAAACACAGATTTCAGAGGCAACTTTTTGCAAAAGCTGCCAAAATGCTGTTTATTCAAACGGGTAAAACTATGGTGCGGTGTCGCACCATAGTTTTGAGCTTTTAGCTATCTACAACTTTTTTATTTCCTAACACTCAAATATTTACAACATATCTAATATAATTCCAATTTTATTAAGTTTACTTTTAATTCTTCTTGATATCCACTTTGTGCTTGATACTCTGAGGCATTACCTATCTAGCCTTAACTCTACAAAGCACATACTATTTGTGTTTTCATTCATTTATATAATTGATGCAAAATACTTGCAACTATCATATCTATGCATTCTTTTATATTCTAATTATATTTAACTAATGATGTCACAAAAAAAAAAAAAATGATCAGCATGAATCTTAATGTATGTTAGTTAAAAAAGTTTTCATTGTTAATTTGACATATTTCAAGCTCTCATTTTAATAATTTTATAGTAAAACAAAATATCTTGATATTACAAGCCTTATGACACTAAGAATGATTTGATCCAAGCCCAAGTGATTGGAAGTTTTGAAGCATTATTTGAAATAAAATGATTTCTAATTTGACATACTTTCAATAAAATCGAGTGCCTTGACAAGAGCAATTCAACGAGTTCAAAATTACTCAATTATGAGGGCATTAAAACACAAATGCGAAATGATTTGAGATTAGAAATAATCATCATGAATTGTCTGATGAAGTGTTTTGAATGGGAGGAAGCTAAGACTTAAGTTTACTCTATTGAAGAAAATTTGAAGGCAATGCTTATCTACAATCATCATTGACCACCCCTAGATGTCATTTCCAAGTATTGTCTTGTGGTTGTTGCAGTCCAACTACTGGCTTGCGGCTATTGTAGTTCAACTACTGCCTTGTTGTTGCCTAATATTTGTAACTCAGTTAAAACTTTGTAATCTTATTTTTTTTTACTTAGAGAGAGAGAGTAAATATCTGTAAATTCAAATACATAGTGGATAATATTGATTGGTTCAGGCCCCATTAATTTTTCCCTTTCCAGTGTTTTTCAAAAAAAAAATTTGCTCTCTTATCATTTATATACGTGCGTGTTAGATCTTCCTGTAATGTTAAAACCTTAATCTTTAACTTTAATGTCACGAATTTTCTATCAAACTTCAATGTCACGAATTTTCTATTACACACAATTAATATTTTTTTATCTTATATAATATTGTGTCATAAATTTAAATTTGTTGTATTAATTTTTAGCCATTACTTTTAAAACTTCTTTTCCATTGTTCAATCTTTTGCTTATTGCAATAGACATATCATTAACTATAATGATGTTATATATAAACAGCATATGCCAAACCATCTCACATTGATATAATTTGTAAGTACTCTATCGCCTAGGAAAAAAAAATGATACGGGTTCAATAAACATTCATGTAAATTTTTTGTAGTTGAAAACTCTTATGTTACCCGTCAATTGTTAATAATAGCCAATGTTCTCTGTTATTTATCTTTAATAACCTGGCCGTGTTTTTGACTCTCTTTTTTAATTTGAACAAAACTAGTTCTATTGATGCTCAATTATATACCTTTTTAAGATAAGCAAAATTATATGAGGATTCTTTGTTTTTTTCCAAATTTTATAATGTTCTTGACAAATAAATTATTGCATAGAAGATCTTTTTTGTATGAAGCCAAATTGATTCTCCAAAAACAACATAATTTTTTTGATAATCAATTGAAACTCTCCAAATATTAATATATATATCATATGAGCCTAGAACCTTTATGCAAATTTTTAGAGAAAACTTCATTCTTTTTTTTTGAGTAAATTTATATCATACATCATTGTTTTATTCATTATGCCTTTTAAAATAAAATTTTCTTTGAAGCTATACTCTGATATATTTTAAATTTTTGGAATGTCTTCATTTTATACTTGCATTTTATCATCTTTGTTTGTTATGCATCTGATAGCAAAATATCTAAATTCCACCTCTCGTACATTTATCTATTTTATATTGTTTCTTTTCTCATTCAATTGTACCAAGTCTATAATATAAAATAATCAAAACTTGAGACGTGAAGCTTTGGTATAATCATTCCAGGATGCAATAGTATTTATCTTTTGCCAATATTTTAAAACACATTTATTAAATTGTTAACAACCTTTTGCATCTCCTCACTCTCTCACTAAATCTCTTTATTAATATATATATATTCTCTCATATTGCAATAATCTTTTTAATGGAATTAATCATTTTATTCAACATTAAATTTGATTCAACTCATAAGCTCTAAAATTCTCCTAACTATTACCTTGAACTATAAATAATATCTCACGGTTCAATTATCGTCATATTAGCCCAAGGACGCTTGTAATCATCTTAAATATTGGTTATGAATGTTAAATTTCCTTTTCTCTGGAATGGTAAATTTCTTCTTTAGTCTTTAACTTGAAAAAATTTCATATGCTATGCTGACAGTTTATTGATTCATGAGACAAATAATGAAATTATAGTAAATGTTTTGATTGAGTGATTTCTAAAATTTGCGGTTCTAGTAGGTTTTTTTTTAATGTCACTTTTCTGCTCTAAAGTAATTGTTTATTCTACTTTTCTTCGCATGATGGCTATGTAGAATCAATCTATGGAAATTTACATTATACTACAATTTTTATGTATTTATATATCTAAACACCTACAGTTTGATATTTACACTTATAACACTTTGGCATCATAAACCTTTGCATTACAAGATGCATTTCTCTGTTTTAAAAAATAGTGATGATAGTGTTTTTGATGTGATTTTAAAGATTGAGTGATATGCATGGTAATATTAATGTGTAGGTGTTAGATATGTAAATACAAAAGATTTATGTGGTATGTATGTAAATGCCCCATCATTTTATTGTTCTTCTAGTCGAAACATGAATGGTGTATATTCACTTATCTTAGGTTTCTGCTGTTTCAGGTATTACAAGAGTCTTCTTTGGATCAGATTTTGTGACCGTCACGAAGTCTGATGAAGCTTCCTGGGATTATCTAAAGCCTGAAGTTTTTGCTGCAATAATGGACTTCTATGGGACAGGAAACCCTCTTTTTCTAGATTCGAATACTGCAGCTTCTAAGGATACTGCAATTCATGAGGTATCATCTCCTTTGCTTAAAATATTGTCCCACTTTATGTGCTAATTTCGATCAAAATTTAGCTTTTCTTGTTGTTATTGCTAATGAATACAGCATTCCATTGTTCATTTTAATAAAGGGATAATTACATACATAGCACTTGAAATATTATTATTTACAACACTAGCAACCAGGTGATTTTTTGAACTATTGAACTAGTGTATTTATGCGTGTCATGATCAAAGCATTTGGAATTTGATAAAAATGAGAAATATGGGTTGGGGTTTTCTTGTGAATCTTAATATTTGAGTAAGAATTTGAAAAATTGATAAAAGAAAGGGTGCTAGTTTTTCAATGCATGAACTCGAGCTTTTACCTATGCTTATTGTAGGAGGAAAGTGTCATAATGCTTACTTGACTCTTTTAGGGGTTCGCTTTAGCCCCATACTCTATAAAAGTGTCAATTTAGTCTCCATATTCTTTTTTTGATGGGGGAATAAAATAGTCCTCTTTGGGGATAAATTTGACCCTATTAAAAGAGTCTGAGACACTTTTATAGACTTTAGGACTAGAACGAATCCATGTAAATAGCCAAGGGACTATTTTGAACTTTTCTCCTTATTTTAGCTTGGCCATGGAAAAGTTTGATGTGTTTTAGGCTATCAATGATGCAGAAACTTCCCAAGGTGCTTGGATTTGTCATTTCTAGGTCTATTTTGAAGGAAAGCTGTCAGTGTGACTGTTTATTTGATCTTGCTTGATAAAAAGGGGCATTTACATACATATCACACAATTCTTATGCATTTAAAATGCTCAAGCTTAAATTTTCATTTTTACACACATAGCACTCATGTTTAATATCACATAAAAAATTACATCATCACCATTTTTTGAAAGTGAAATGCACCTTTTCATGCATAGGTTTAAATCACCAAAGTGCTTTGTATGTAAATATGAAAGTTTGTGTGAGATATGTAAATACATTGTGTTCTAGGCATGTAAATTTCCCTATAGAAAATAAGGAAGAATATGGAGAAATAGAAGTTGTTTGGTAAAAGTGATAAAGGAGCTTAATTTGTTGGATCATTAAAGGGGAAGTTTACAACACACATGTGGGTTTCGAAAATTCTGGTCGCTCCCTATGATTCTCTTCATTTATTTATTTATTTTTTTTATGGGGAGAGTTTTGGACGATCAAATTTTCAGAAGGCAGGTTTGATTATAGATTAGACACTACCCAGAGATTTAACTCTCTTTTTGGAGGAACTTTTTTGATATGGGGTTTTGAGATCTCCCATAGGAGCGCAAGACCGTATGGTTAATTACCCATCTCGATAATAAAAGAACATTTTTGATTAAAACTATTCATTATAAATTGAATATTCAATATTTACTAACAAAAATCTTAGAATTTAAATTGCAAAATTTTTCACTTGAAGCTTAAAACATATGGTGGGAGAAATGAAGAGTAAACCCGATCAAGATCTCATTGTTTCGTCGTCGTGGGTCGTCGTGGTCCCTGATCTTTTTTATCAGAGGAGGTGGTCGACCCAACATGACTGAATGATCTTTATCAGGAACCATGAGTTATGCTGTCCAAGGGATCTTTATATGTATGAGGTGAATGTATGTCTAAGAGGAAAACAATCTTATCTGACATAAGACTTTATGTCAATTAATTTTATCATTGGTTCACAATTCGAAGGGTAGAAAGCCATTAGAGAATTTACGGGCCGCGGCCTTAACCATAATATAATGATGTCATTTGGTGACAATCATTCATTTAGAGGACTATTGTTTTAATTGTTATTTTGTGGTGCTATTTGGCGGCAAAACCACGCAGGTAGAAGACTCAAGGCACGTCGTTACTAGTGTGCGATTGCTTTGATTGTGAATATAAGGATGCATTTGATATGATATTAACTCTTTGTGAGCTAAAGTCAATAAAAAATTTGTCATCATTGATAAACTGTTAGGGATGGTGGTTGGATTTCGCTTTTAGTTTTTGAGTGATTGATTTGACTTGAATATTTAATTTATTACTTTGGAAATTTATTTTAAAATTGATCCCTCTTTTGAGATATTAAATCAACACGACTATCTTTGGGGAATTGTTTATCTTTAAACTTTATCGACTCTGACCTATTTACAGAGGATCAGGTTCAGTAATTGAAATAATTGAATTCAAAATAGGCTTTGAAGCATAATTTTAAAATAGACCCATCCGGTTGAAATCTTCTATCAATTCGACCATTATTGGCGATTTGAGCATTTAAAACTTTTATATTTGAAGGGAAATTTAATTTAGTTAATTTAGGCTTTTCAGGATATCAGTCCTGCCAACTCTTGTCCTTTAGTAAGGAGGATCGAACTAGGTGATTTGAACTTGTAAATTTTTATTTTATGATTTGGACGTTATGAAATTTACTAGACTCGTCAACTTCAGTCCTTGCGAGGAGGAGGATTACTAGTTGAGTGAGACTTACAATCCTATCCTATAGAAAATGTTGTCTGATTAACCAGCGCAACATTCTCGAACATAGTATTTGAGCATTTAATACATTGGTTGGAGCACTTGCATGCTTACAATTTTATATATTTGAATATTTTAAAGAGTTTTATAAGCTTTAAAGAATAAATTTTAAGCCATGAGTTTACTATGGACTTTATATCTAGAGGCATATGATAGATTTTGAAAATATATGTAATTGATTTACTTATGTAGATACCTTTAAGCATACCTAACTCATAATTTTCTCAAGTGGCACTTTTCTAAGTTTTAAAAGTGGCACATTTTAAGATATCCCATTTAACTTGGGTGATAACCATGAAATTTAAATAAATTTTGATTTAAAATTCATTCAAAGATTAAAGTATTTGCAAAATTATTTTGATTTTAGGATTTTAAAAGGGAACTCTTATGTTCGTTAGCAGGTGTATTGCGAATCAAATGAAGAGCTTTTGAAGTTTCAAAATTTTTAGGCTTAAATTATGTTTGAACTCTAAGAGCTTAAATTTGAAAGCTCAAAACTACAAATAGTTATTTAAGACCTTAAGAGTCATTTTAAAGCTTAAATTCTTCAATATTTTTAAGCCTAATAGCCAATGTTTCAAAAGCCCAAAACTTGAAATATTTTTGAAACCTTAAGAGCCTAAATGTTAAATGCCCAGATTTTCGATAATTTAATCTTACGAGCGTAAATTTTAAAAGCTCGAATTTCCAAATTATTTTATTTTAAAAGCTTGAATTTCCAAATTATTTTAAAATTTAAATGATTCATATTCAATGTTATTTTCAAGTTAAAAAATTTCATGATTTTAAATTAATTACATATCCAGATCATTTAAAATTTGGTAGCCTCACTGCATTACCTCTGTACCAGGAGAATAACAACCTTCCTAACCGTCTTAAAAGACGTGTTGGTCACGTCGTGAGACACTATGGCCGGGGAACAAAAACAAAACATCTAGCACACGATCTTAAAACACAAAACTAGCCTTCAGTATACCCGTAAAAAGTGTCAAATCGCAAGGAGAAAGTTCCCCGATCAATACTTAATTCCCACGGACGGGTATTTACTTTTTCCCAAGGATGGGTATTTTATAATCCCAATTTTAAAAGGAGTTTTCCGAACGATTTTGCAGTTTCCCTAATAGTACCTAATTCCCACAAACAGGTAATCGCACCTCGATGAATGGAGATTTTCAATATTACCCCATTGCCCATCTCATTATACATTTTCGAGCGAAACATCGTTACGACGACGATGATGAAATGACTGGCCCGACGATCAACAACACGACAAAATAAAATAAAATATAGATCTTTTCTCTCTCTCTCTCTCTCTCTCTCTTTATAACACAATGCACTAGAAATACTAAAACAAAAAGGAACAAATGAACAAAAGAAATATGCAAACTGAGTTCTACTCGTGAAAGTAGTTCTTAGTTATGTGAAGTCGGGTTGGTGGGGCAAACATGCAAATAGGAGATGTGATTTGACTAGGGATGTCAGACGAGATTGTGAAAAAGGCTCCCTTTGGCTTCAGAGGTGATATTACATCCGAAGAACATATATGTCGAGAAATTTTATTTGGCTCATTGGAGCCCTTTTCTGCATATATGTCCTCCAGATGTTATATTTTTTGCGTCTTCGAGCGTCGAAGGACTTGGACATAGGGATTTGGGAATCCTTGGTTTCGAGTTAAGGCAGAGGGGCGGCGTGCGAAGGTGATAGACAGCGGCTTGGTTTCTTTGCTCGGGTTTCAAATTGGAGGAGGACTTAGGATTTTTGGTTGTGTGAATAGTGGGAGGTAGGCGAAGTGGAGGGGAAGTTTCATTGGTGAACAGGGAGTAGGGATGGGGTTTCGTGTGGTTTCAAACTGAGTGGAAGAGTGGTGAGGGCTTTTGTGGCTTTGAACAAAAGAAAAAATAGAAGGCGAAAAGGAAAACAAGGGAAATGAGGGCTTACGACAAAGGCTTTTGCTAACTCCTGTGTGTTTTCAATTAGACAAAATGAAAAGGGAGAGCTAGACTTGCGAATGGGAGGGAGGTGCTCTTGTTCGTGCTTGTAAGTGAGGAAGAGCAGGAGCGGTTATCTCCTTCGAGTGGGCTCCAATGGGCAGGAGAGTAAGTAGATAGTTAATCAATTAATTTAATTTTTATTTTCATCTTTATTTTTTTTTCACGATCCACAACACAACCCGAGGCTTCTATTTTCTTCCTAGGTGCTAATTCTCACCATCAATCTTTTAGGGGAAAATGGGAGATATCCAAGGAGCGGCCATATAAGCTTTGCTTCTAATATTTGATTGATTGTTAATTGATAAACGAGAATTATGGTGGTTTTTTTTCTCATTTTGATTGGGATGAACTTTAACTATTAGAAGTTATATTAGAAAATAATTAATTTTTTGAGAAATTTCGAGGAATAAATTATTTCGTTAGATTATGAGTTAATTTCTTTCCTATTTTATATTTATTTCCTTGGATCAGGAGTTATTTCCTTTCTTGTTTTAGGA